GTTTACCTTTTGTTGTCGGTATGCACACTTGTTCCTCGGTGTGAGGCTTCTAGGCTTCTATTAGACAGCGCTCAGCGTTCAGACTTCGCGTCGGCGCGCGCCGTTGTCAAGTCTGAACGCTGCTTTGATAAGGCAAACTCTTCAATGACGAGAGAGTGCCCTTAAATCCATTCAGCCATGGAAATAATTCATTTTCTTTGATTTTTTTCTTCTTTCCCATCAATACAAACTTAGTTGTGATTGAGGCAACTGTGGGTCTGACTGTTCTGAACTGCTCTACCACAGACAGCGTACAATCGGAGAACCTCCTTGAAATTGCTCCGAAGTGTGCAAAAACAGAGCTCTTCTGCTCGGAAGTGTTCCTTGCCTAAATAATGAGAGCGACTCGTAGATAGGCTGGACTGGGCGAACTTTTGTGGAGTCGTTAGGAATGACGGTTGAATCATTCAAAAAACGGTGTGGCAAATGCAAGCATCCAATAAATGGTCTAGAGATGGGATAAGGTTTGTTTCAATATACCTTTTCGCTTTTCAGATCGTTGATGCCCGAAATCCACTCCTGTTTTGGAGCAAAGATCTTGACTCCTACGTGAAGGAAGTCGACCCTGCAAAGAAAGTTTTGCTGTTACTTAACAAGTCTGATCTGTTGGAAGAAGAACAAGTGGCAGGATGGGCGAAGTACTTTGCGGAAAACCATGTAAATGCCGCCTTCTGGTATGTGAGCACAAGTTTTTCTCCTTTTCAGTGGTTAATCTGCACTTTTTAGGACGGCTTTGGAAGAACCTGAAGAATGCGAGGAAGGATGTAGTTCTGCACCTTCAACGGCTTCATCAGTGAATGGGCTTCTGTATCTGCGCAGTCGTGATCAGCTTATACAATATTTGAAAGATTTGGGACACGTTATTGACGCTCCTGGTAGTAAACCTGTGGTTGTCGGAATGGTCGGATATCCGAACGTTGGCAAAAGTTCAACAATCAATAGAATTGCTGGTGGCAAGAAGGTTTCTGTATCGGCTACCCCTGGAAAGACTCGACACTTTCAAACTGTTCACATTGACAGTCAAGTAAGTTTTCGATTGAATTTGGGAGTTCCGCGTCGTGGCCCCACTTTTTCCGGTTACTATTGCTCGTCTTACGGTGAGAGGGCTCAGATTATCTTATAACCCACCCCTAAATAAGGTCCTGTTGTTGTAGATGGTAATCATAGGTTGCCGAGTTTCTCGAAGCAGCACTCAGCGCTCTATTTTTGGGAGTTTTGTTGGGTACCGTGCCTTGGTTTGAACAATTGTCATTGGGATTTGTACATGAAATGTTTCTGTGCATCTCCCCTCCCCTTCCGCCCCGCCCATTTCCCGTAATGCTTGCAGCGTAGTGTGTTTGTTGTGCTGTGTAGACATGGCGTTGGTTTGTAGTTTTCTCCTACACTCGCAAAATCAGTGCGCGGGCGTCCGTGAGCCAGGTAGGGACGTCTCTGACACAGTGCGGATCCATGTGGTTGCTCCTCGTTTGGAAGGTTCTCCCTCATGTCTAAGTTGTCCTCGCATGCTAGTGTTGGTGAAATAAATAGTCTTGGGAACTTCATGCATATGAAGGAGGTAAAGTTAAAGCCGCGTTCATACTGTGCGCGAATGAGGCGACTGAGGAGATATAGTAGTTTGGGAGGCTCGGCGTTTCTAGAGAATTTGCGACGAAGGAAGTTTAAGTTCCGGTCGGCGCCGGGTCGCCGATCTTCTAAAGTCGCCAGATCGAAACCCATACTTCCATTGTCGCGCGGTCTCGCATCGCCGAGTCTCCCAAATCGCCGAATCTCTTCAGCTGCAAAGTATGAACGAGCCTGTAGCTTTCACTGTTATTCAATGGCTTTCTGGGATGCGCTTGTACCCACTTTTATCCAAAATCGTTGTGGATTTTTATCCTAATGAGGGCGTCTACCAGCATTTAACCAACCTCGAAGGGATAAGAGTTGTTGACTATGCACCCATCCCGTTTCCACACGCTTGTAATTTTCATGTAAAATGATGAACGCTCATTGATTAGCAGTTGTTATGGTAATAATTTGCAGCTGGTCCTGTGCGATTGTCCGGGTCTTGTTATGCCTTCATTTGCATTTGGACGAAATGAGATGTTTCTCAATGGTTAGTCGTGGACTACTATTTCTGTCTTCTATCTGTTATGCTATACTTTGCGGAATTTTTTTTCCATTTAAAGAGCATTTTTAGGTATACTCCCAGTGGATCAGATGCGGGAACACTTTGGACCGATCGCTTTGTTGTTATCGCGCATACCGGTGTCCTTTTTTGAGCACACGTATTCCGTCATGTTACCGGAAAATTCGGAGCCATCTGCTTTGAACCTATTGACATCCATAGCATTCATGCGTGGGTTCATGTCTGCTTCAGGAATTCCTGATTGTTCACGTGCAGCTCGCTTTGTTATAAAGGACGTCGTTAATGGTCGATTGCGCTGGGTAGCTCCTCCACCTGGAATTGACCAAGAGGAGTTCAACAGTCATCTCTATTCAGTGACAGCGCCATGCTCTGGACGTGTTCAACTCGAGCAACTGGAGAAGCGAGGGCTTCTTGAGGGAGCTGGTGTGCTCAACAAAAAAGTTGACTCCCAGTTTTTCAACGAGACCACGGGTGCTGCTCATACTCGTAGTGCTAGAGGGACTTCTACTCTTCAAAGTGCTGGCTCTGTTATACCAAACGCTATAGAGAAGGGAGATAAGCATCATAACAACAAGAATAAGAAGGAAAAGCTCCGAAGAATATATGTCTCGTCATATTGATGTGTACAGATAAAGAGTTTATACCTAAATAGCTGTTGCGTGATTTATCTGATGGAATATATCCATTCATATCTGTCCCCTTTCCGTGTCATTGATTATTTTTTGGTCATTCCTTATATGTTCCTTGAAGTGAAAAGTATTCAGAGGATCACCATGGGGAAAATAATGAAGCCGGGCAAGGTTGTCCTTGTCCTACGTGGTAAATACGCCGGTAGGAAAGCACTCGTCGTGAAAGCTCAAGATGAAGGAGGTGCTGATAGGTCGTACCCCCATGCCATCATAGCTGGAATCGATAAGTACCCACTGAAGGTATGCTGCTATTTTCTGTTTTGGTCTAGTTTGGTTCTTGTAGTGTGTCTTTAGGTCACAAAAAGTATGGGCAAAAAGAAGCAGGAGAAACGCAATAAGTTGAAGCCATTTGTGAAAGTTGTATCGTACAGCCATCTCCTTCCCACCAGATATTCCGTTGATGTTGCTTTTGATAAGGCTAACATTAATAAGGTGTGTGCCAGTTCTCTATTCCTGTTCAAATGGGTACTTAAAAAGTGTCGTTTAGGAGTCATTGAAGATTCCAAAGAAGAAGAGATGCGCCCTTGCGGAAATCAAGTCCAAATTTGAGGAACGATACAAAACTGGAAAGAACAAATGGTTTTTCACGAAGTTGCGCTTCTAAAAGTTGTTTCGTTGTTGTTTATATAAATTTGTTGTTTATGTGTGCCTAGCAGCTCTTCAGTATCGGTATTCTTCGTTAGTATTTGTAGAGGTAATATAGCAGCGATTGATGCCCCTCGAAGGGAATATTGGGAGCGGCAAATATTACAAATTTTTCACATCCTTTTCACTGAAGGATGGTAGTTATATTTCCAAGGATAAAATTCTTGCGACCCCTTATATCGCTAGTTTCGAGCTTGCCCACTAGGCATCGTTGCTATGAAGTCAGTTTTGGGTTACGTCAAGGTTCAAAAAAGCTCTCCTAAGCCTCAAAAGTCCCTCCAAATAGGTTGATCTCGCGTTGTAAGGGTATTATTGTTGGCGGGTAAATTTTGGGGAATTTTCTGAGATTAACCTAGATTATCGTATAAGGTCAAATATATCCTCCGTTGTCAGTTCGATCCTGACATAAGTTCTGGTCATGAAGCATTTCTCGCCCATGTTGGGCTGCGTTCATGTGTTGCGACTAAGGAGACTCGGCGATTCGGGAGACTGGGCGACGGGGAAAGTATAGGTATGGTCTAGCGGCTGCGGAGATTGCACAATCCGGGAATCGGAGATACTCAACTTTCAAGCGGTTGCGCGGTAAAAGAGTGATGGGTGTTAATCTGTGCCTGTCATTAGCAATTTCGGGATTCGGCGGTCCAGCGAAATGGGGGATTGAGCGATACAACGACGTGTGAGACTGAGACTTGGCGATCTCCTGAAGTGCTCGGGCGCCGAGTCTCTTAAATCGCCAGTTCTCAGCGGCCTGCAACTTCAAAGAACAAACAGCATTTGGAGAGGGAGGTATTCCTGACTTGTATGCGTTTGCTGAAGGAAAGCATTTTATGATTTATGATTTATGATTTATTATCGGCAAACTAGTACAATGGTCGAGGTAAATAACATTGTAGAAGAACAAAACTCCGATAAAGGTAAAAAGAACACTCATGGTTATACAAGAGATATAGCTGCTAAGCAATGAGTGGAGAGGTAGTCAGCGCAGAAGGGCAGTGGGCCGCCAACACTGCAAGTCCATAGATGCTCATGTAGGAACTCCGGATACCAACTTAGTAGGTCCGCCAACTTTGCTGACTTAGCTGAGATCCAACTCCACTTGCAGCAGATATTTGGGTAGTTCTTCCATATGACTGGGTTTCGGCGTTATTTTTTGTTGGCACGGTGCGGGTAGGCACTGTCACGTTGATAGCAGGCTTTGAGGATCCGATTGATGACTTGTTTCAAGCAGCCGCAGATGTTTTGTGTAGGTCGCTCGCGGAATCAGATCCCTCATCCAGTAGTTTCACAAGGCGCAGCTCTCTCAAGGTCAGCTTAAATAGAAATCCAGATCTCACTTCGCTTCCATAACTGGTGACTGAGGCATGAATACTTGATTTTTCTGTAAGCTGGGATTGTTCACATTCTCGGTTGCTCCTTTGTATACCAGGGCCGAGTATTCCTAATAAAAAATATGGCACAACAATCGCCCATCAAACGCCTGGTGCTACTGGGATGATGTGTGGGCATTACTGGGTACGAGTTAGCACCGTGTTCGATTCGTGGGTAAGGTTTGCAAAACATATCTGCTCATACTTCTCTGATTGTCTTGCGGATATGGGTTCCCTTGGTTCACGAAACTTGTAACGTCTCTCAATAGCGATAAAGGCTATTAGTTAAAGGACTCTGAAGCAGCACAACTTGAACGGTGAAACTGCACTTGCGATCTTCCATTTTTCCTCCGTTATAACCAAGTTGTCCCTCTGTTCTACACACACAGTCGTTCTTTTAAATGAAGCCACGCCTTTTTCACGAGGTCTACAGTAATGAGAAATTATCTTGTTGCTGTGCAAAGTGAGCTGAATAGATTTGTAGCTTAACCGTGCTAAACAGCCACACAGGGAATCTGAGTGGGGAGAGCATTTGAAAGGGTTTCTACATAGCATTTCCAAGCTTATCCTCTTTCGCTGCAGGGAAATGAATGTGGTGCTTAGGCACATACTACCCACCCACCTAGAAATGCGACAGCTTTGATGTAAAGCTTCAATGCCAATATACATCCCGATCTCCACTCACATTGATCTTCTATGATCTTTTTCAAAAAATCTGGGCGCAGATCGGTTGATGAGGGAAGGCCCAAAAAAAAAAAATTTTTGCCCGCTTATTACTTCTCATGTGCCTATTCTGGAGTGGACAGGTATCCTCCCTAAAGCTGGCGAGTAATTCTCTTACAACTCTGACTAGTAATCCACCTGGCGATAGAGACTTCTGATGTAAGCGGTACAGAAGACGCTGTATCCCTTCGCTCACAATGTGCTCCTATGTACCGGATGAGGGCTGTGAAGGTTTGGATGGAGGGATTTGCCTGGAAAATGGATGTAAACCTGGTCTCAACGATGATGGCAAACCGTTCCTTCTACATCTCCAGTCTAGGCAAACGGTATCAGCCTAAAACACGCTGTGCGAAACCTACAATGGGCGACGGAGGGGGAGAAAGGAATGGGGAGGGCTTGGAGGATGTCGTATTCGGTCGGCGCAGCAATACAGCTATGTCTCACTGTTGGTCAGAGGTGACCAGCCCCTCACTATCCCTTCCCCTCCCTCTATGGCAAAAATTTTGGGAGAACTCGCTGAAACGCCAGGTATACTCCTTATCCCTGAGACGGGGTAGGCGTGACACTCGACCATGGCAACAGAACTGGTTACTCGTGGGATATTTAAATTTGAGACGACCGCTATGCTGTTCTTCGTTGGACAGAGACGTGACCACATTTGGGTCAAAATGAAAATATCTCTCCAAAAGCATAGCCACCACGACGTTTAGTTGAAGTACGCAGCCACGCCTACCTCATCTCAGGGATTTCGAGTGTAAAATGGGTCAATGGTGAAATCGAGATCAAGTCTAGAGGGAGGGGGAGGAGCGGAGAGGTCGTGGCATCACTTCACCCTCACCTTCACCCATCTCGGTGAATCCCGATCGGTATTGCCTCCGTGTTTCCATGTGGGAGTAAACTGTGTATCATCGTGCTGCATGTCCAGGAGGAGATGTGTATTTCAGCGATTGAGAGTGGTGGGGTCCGATTTCAAAAAAATTTTCTTCATTGGTATGGCGCGGCGTTTACACTTCATCGTGTAGGTTGGGCAAACGATGATGGTGTTGCCTGTATGCTGGAAGAGAATCATGACATTCACTACGAATTTCATACTTTTTCCTAACTCAGGATCCGGAGGCTATGTTATCTAGCACCACCTAGTTTAGGAGAGTTGTGGCCTCTCTTCATCGCATTTCTGTCCGGGAAACTCTGTGTTTTTGATCTAACGACCCTTCATGAGGGCTCCACCTCTCATACTGAATTAATTTGAAACTTACATGAAATTGAGCACGGCAAGTAATTAAGGGGACGTAGCTGTAGAATATAGGATTCGCCTGCTATTGGAAGAATGCTGCTGTAGTCCTTCGAAATAAGGCCTCGAAGTAACGTGGCGTCCTACCATGTGGCTTAAATGATCAGAAAAAGATCGTGTTGGTCAATTACAGTTCAGCTATGCTAAAATATACTCCAAAACGAAACAGATGTTTCATTGCAGAATTACCATTTCGGCGCAGTTCGGTTGTGAACTTCTGTGATCAAAGTGGCTCACTTGTACCATTTCCCAGCTTTACAAGAGTTCACAAGGTCTTGTACAAAATGCCTCTTCCAAGCCGAACGCGCCGTGGTTCCTACTATAGAGCCCAGCGGGTTCTAGAATAAACACCTCTTCTGTAGCATTCTTTTCTGGGGTACTGGGTCTACACAAACAGCGACGAGTCACTGATTACTCGGCGGGTAAAATTATGTTTTGAAAAACTCTTCAAAATTGTACAGCAAGCTTTCTCTCTAAAGATCTATCCGTTGGTGCCGAAGTAGGTCTGATCTGATCTCCAGTCTACTGTCTGATTCGTTTTATTTCAACGAGCACTCACCTCAGCCGGATATTCATTGGCAAGAACACCTTTGCTCGCTGATCCAGCGGTAGGGGAACAATTCTTCATTATTTATGAATTTTTATGGGTTCGAATTGAGAAGACCGGGACCATGAGAGTTTTCAAAGCTATTCGCTTGCACCCTCTATAATTTGTAGGGTTTTGAACTGTTTTCTTGGATGTCAGCGAAATGCAGAATACGTAGAAACATCTTCTGGCGTGCAGGACTCCGAGTCTGTAATAGTTTCTGACATCTAGCTAAACTTGTCATGCCACGACTTCAGTGAAAAAAAATTAGTGATCAGGTTGAATCCCAGTGAGTTTGTATCATTTTGTGGCGCACCCAAATAGAAATAAAAAGATGGTGGATGGATTAACGAGAACGACCATCTACTGTCCGAATTATTATTTTGATTTATTTTTAGGAGTGCCCCCATACCTAATCATAGGATTCAGTGGCTGTAGTAATTTTAATTAGTCCGATTAAGTCCCTGTTTAGTAGCATTCAACGACTTTTCAATTGTAAACGCACCTACGCGTATTAAATTAACAAATAAATAAATAAATAAATAAATAAATAATTTTGCGGTTCTGTGGGGAATGCAAGTGCGTCCCCACCCGTCCAAACTGTTGAACCATCAATATTGTTATTATTACTAGGATATTTACAAGTTATCCCCTGAAGAACCCCCGGGTATTAGGCAACTTTTATTCGAAAATAACAAGCAAATTGTTTCAGACAGACGGCTGTGCGACGTCGCGACGAGGCTGGTCCTGCAGTGACTGGGAGTACGGTAGAAGAGGTGTGTGCAGAGGACGCGAGTGAGCGTGCGGCTGCGTTGCGGTCGCCGTGGTTCGGTCGTCTGCGGATCACCTTTTGCTGGACGAGAGCGCGCGCCGTTTCTGTCTCGTCGAGTCCTCCTCCCCTATTCTGCTACGTGTCGTTGTTGCGGGTGATGTCCGTGACCTGATGTCACTGATTAATTCGTGATTAGAATCCAGCAGAATTGTGTGAGAAT